CCTATGTACTGGCCATGCCAGGCATGGGATGGAACAGACCATTGGCCAGTTTGGGTCTCAGTCCTAACCCTGAGGTCGAATCCCAGGCTGGTCACTGGGGCTGTGCTCTCTCCCAGCTTCTCCTGCCCCTGCAGACACGGGCACAGCAGAGAAGCTGGAAAGTCCTTGACTGTCCTGGCAGCAGCTCTGCCCATCAGTGTGTGATCAGCTTCTGCTCAGCACAAACCCAAACAGCCTCTCACCAGCTGCTGGGAAGAAAGTGAACTCTGTCCCAGCTGAAACCAGGACACTGCCATATCAAACTCACCCCCCGCCCCTGCCACTCTTCCTAGGCTGTTAGTGGCCTTCCCTTGTGAACAATCATATATATTATTGAGGGACTTATTGTCTGCCTCACTTTGTCCCTCTTGAGCATCCTCTAGCCTTTGGTTTCCCCCAGTACTTTGCTCATCGTGTAAACGTCCTTTGCATACAAAGAGCTTTTACGTACATGTAAGTGCGGCACTGGAGAGGTCTCGTGGTACAAACGAGAAGGATATGAGGGAACAAACAAGTATGTCCATTAGCAGTTATGCAGCAGTTGGCTTGGCTTTGATCCTCCTTGCCTTACAGTTTTGCTCCCTGCTGACACCCAGGGACACCTCCCACTAGCCCAGGTTGCTCAAAGCCTCATCCAGCCTGGCCTTGAACCCCTCCAGGGATGGGGCATCCACAGCTTTTTGCCCCATATAGCTGCAGCTCATGGCCATAGCTCTTACGAACAGGGAAACCTTTGTGGCTTGCAAAGCAGGTGGGACTTGGGATGCAAGAGCCTGTCATCTTTGTCTTCCCTCTTATTCCTCCTTCACAAATTAAAACGGCAGGATGCCATTTTCCTCAACCTTTCCTCCCCTCTCCAAATGAAAGGGGCTGGATGAACTCCTAACAGACATCTGAAGCGGCTCATCAGAGCTGCTGTCTGCGTAGCAGTCAATGAGCAGCTCAGTTGGCTGGAGCTAAGAACATGTCACCTGCTGCTGAGACTGTCTGCTTGCAGAAGCCCTGAGCACACTGAAAATGAAGTCCCTTGGCAAACCAATGGGACAGTTGTCACAGTGCCTGGCTAAAGGTGCCTCTGGGTTTGCCCTTAACTGCTGCCCTCTTTTGCTCCAGAGTCTTTGAGGATGTGGTTCCAGCCATCCGGAAGTGGCGGGAAGCGGGGATGAAGGTCTATATCTACTCTTCAGGGAGTGTCGAAGCCCAGAAGCTTCTGTTCGGATACTCTACAGAAGGTGATATCCTAGAGGTAGATAACCTTGTCGCCTTCCTTACAAATTCTCCCTCTGCAGAGCACTTCCCTCCCACAACGGCTCTCGCTGTATTGCTTCGTGAACAGAGTCTAGGACGGGAAAGTGGGGCGGTGGGCTTGATCCTCAGGAGTTGAGTTCAGCCAGTTGAGTCTGCTGGCATGGCTGAGGGCTGGCCTTCATCTCCCCGTCACTGTGGGAGGAAGGAAAGGAGGCAGCTTGCTCGGGTGGGAGGTTTTGTCTTGCTCTTCGGGTGGTACTCAGCACCTGCCTTTGCTTTGCTCTGTCTTTCAGCTCTTCGATGGCCACTTTGATACCAAAATAGGCCCCAAAGTAGAAAGCGAGAGCTACAGAAGGATTGCTGCCAGTATCGGCTGTGCCACCAACAACATCCTCTTCCTGACGGATGTCCCTCGAGGTAGGTGGCCTGCCACTCCTGCTGGCTCTTGTCTATGTGAGGGGCGAAGGCACTCTTTGAACATGTGCTGCTGACGTGTCACAGTCACCCGAGAAATGCTGCAGACCGCCTTGCTTCCACTGCTTCCCCCTAGTTGCTGCTGTGCTCCTTCCTTCCTTACAGCCCGGCTCGCACAGCAGCAGGATACGTGTGAGCAGTGCTGCGATGAAGGAAAATGGGGCAAGTAGAAAACCTGCCCTTGCACCAGTAAGCAAGGAGAGTTAAAGCAGAGGGGAGCGTTTGCTGAAGCAGTTGGCCTGCTCCATTTATAAACAGGGTCAGTGGTTTTTGTGACCTGTGATCGGGGGACAGACAATGTCTGCTGTGCGTCTGTGTGGCACGCAGCGGCTGGTTCTTTGTGCTGCTTACCATGAGGTTGTGTTCAGCAGCAGGAAGACATTGCTCCTGCTCGCCAAGAGTCGACCTCTGAAAAGCCAGGCTCGGGAAGCTAATTTAATTTCCTGCCTTTGCTGGGAAGATCTTTCTGGCAGGAATGGCGCAGGTTTGTGATCTCATTCTAATGCCCAGGAGTTAACCCTTACCTCTTCCTCAGCCTCGCAGCAGAGCTGGTGGGAGCTTGCAGTTACCTCCTTTTCCCCGTATCATGCAGCCCAGAAACCACCCGTGTCCTGGGGACATCAAAAGAAGCATTAGCAGCAGGTCAAAGGAGGTGATTCTCCCCCTCTGCTCTGCTCTCGTGAGACCCCACCTGCAGTGCTGTGTTCAGATGTGGGGCCCCCAACATAAAGAAGACCTGGACCTGTTGGAGAGAGTCCAGGGGAGGCCACGAAATTCATCAGAGGGCTGGAGCACCTCCCCTATGAGGACAGGCTGGATGAGGCTTTGGGCAACCTGGGCTAGTGGGAGGTGTCCCTGCCCATTGGCAGGGGGGTGGGGCTGGATGATCTTTAAGGTCTTTTCCAGCCCAAACCGTTCTGTGATTCCATGATTCTGTGATCATACTAAAGATCTGTATACACACTGGAGCTGATGGCTCCACAGGAGCTCCCGTGCAAGGACAGGCTGCGAGAGTTGGGGGTGTGCAGCCTGGAGAAGAGAAGGCTCTGGGGAGACCTTAGAGCAGCTTCCAGTGCTGAAGGGGGGTTACAGGAGAGATGGGGGGGCTCTGGATCAGGGGGTGTAGTGAGAGGACAAGGGGGAATGGGTATAAGCTGGAAAGAGGGGAGATTTAGCTTCCTCGCGATAGGAACGGAGCTGCCGGTACATGCTGCCTGCATGGCGCCTTGGACAGCTGTCAGCAGGAGAGGGGAGGAGATGAGGAGGCAGCCAGCTCCCATCTGCTCATGTTACGTGGCAGCTACGGTCATCCGCAGCAGGTCTCTCCCCTCCTCTTTGTTTCAGAAGCCAACGCGGCCGAGGAAGCGGACACTCATGTGGCTGTGGTGATCAGACCCGGCAACGCTGGACTGACGGATGATGAGAAATCCTATTACAGCCTCATCTCATCTTTCACCGAACTTTTCCTGCCTTCCTCCGCTTAGGGAAAGCGGTGCGCACACAAAAGACTGTGCTTCACCCGAATTGTCCTTGTGTAATGCCTGGTAATTTTGTCCATAATCAGAATTTAAAACCAAACCCACATCATATCTTGGACCCGTGACTAGTGCAGGTATGGATGGAGAGCATGGTGTGGGGTCCCTTGTGCAGGAGGACAGAGACCTGCAGCAGCCAGCTGAAGCTGGGAGCAAGGTGAGACGTGAGCCCTGCTGTTCTTCCCCTTTCCCAGCTAGGAATTAACCCAGGGGATGCTTTCCTCAGTCTCAGCCATTTGAATCTGGTGCTGGGACGCCCCACCACAATCTCCCAGCATCCCTAGCAACAAGGTGTGTGTGTCCCCCGTCCCAGAGGGACCTCCGGGGACCATGAGGGAATGTGAGTTTCTCCCTGCTGATGGGGTTGCTAGCTAACTCAAAACTTTCAAAGTTACAGGGGTTAGGATGCCCAAAGAAAAATGACAAATGTGGGCTAGAATATGGTAGGTTTGGGCTGCCACAGAAAAAGCCAACCCTTGCTGCTGGCGAGCTCTTTAGACTAGGAATGACTTAAATCTTGGCTATACCCACAGCAGATCCAGGCACAAAACAGTACAGCTCGCATATGGAAGCTGCTTAGAGCTACACAACCATCCTACCAGAATGAAGTAGACTCTATATATCTTTAAAAATTCAATTCTAGACCCACCTCACTGCTGCATCATGGTGCTGGGCTATGGGATCCAGCTGGCTAAACACCAGCGTCAGCTTGACTGCATTTCTGCACTAGCTCCCTTAGCATTCGCCCATGGAGCTGCTGCTCCGTAGCCAACATCACCCCTGTCGCACGTTCATAGCGCTGGTCAGCTGTGAGCAAACCTTGACAAACAGCTGGACCTGAGGGCTACATCCTGCTGCACTGAATGAGAATTAAACCCCAGCCTTTTCACCCACCCTGCCTAAATTGTGACAAGTTCTATCTGATAGTCATGGAGCTTTTCCTAATGTAGTAAATAAAAACACCAACTTGGCTTTCATTTTGTTCACTCCATCCCAGGATTTAGCCTTCCTATCACCAGTGATCCCAGCACCTAATGGCAAATCTCTTTTTTTTTTAAGCCGGTAAACACTTTGGTTTTCTTCTTTTTCTCCCTTCTTTCAGGCAGACAAGCCTGTCCTGCTGAGGAAGCTCTATTACTTCCCTGACCATTTTGAAATTCCACTAGGGGCTCAGCAGGGGCGCAGGAGTAAGAGCCACAGCTAGGTTACACCTAGCAATAGCGGTGGCAGAGGCAGGCTGAAACCCCAGTTTGCTGCTGCTGGCACTTGGTGCATGGGTGTCACTTCCAACTTACTCATTTCTGCACAGCTGCGCTTGAGCTTGCCCTCGGGAACGGGCAGAACAGAATATCAGTGTGCACTCTGCCTGCCTGAGCTCTGACCTACACCTGTACATGTCCCTGCTGAGGGAGGCTGCTGTGTCGAGAACAAGCAAAAGACGGATTTGGGGAGGAAACCCCCTCATGCCAGTATTGCCCTCTAAATGTTTGATGGTAGCAGGTAAGGCAGTGAGGGAGCTCATCTGGATGCCTTTCTGGGCTGTGTAACGGCTGAGTGCCATCTAAAGAGCCTGCTAATTAGTGTATCTGCATGGCTGAACAGTCCCTGGCTTTGTGAAGTGTTAATTTTCATCATGACACTGTAAATACTCACCTTTTGTTTTGCCTTTGCCCTCAGAAAGTTATGCATGGAGTAGGGAACAAAAATAAAACTCACTTTCTCCATCAAAGCACTTTATTTAGGGGTCATGTTTCAGTGTACAGCGGTTGTTCTTTTGTTGTACTGAAATGTGCTGTCAGAAATACTGTAAGAAATGTACAGATTCCTGAACCTGAAGTTCAGTTTGGATTGCGTATAAGAAAAGGAGAGGAAAAAATAAATCACAAACATCATCTTTTATTTTCCTTTGATAAAATTACAAAATATAAAATGATAGAATGAAAGTAGAAATTTATTTAAAAAAAAAAAGTCACAGTGGACTATTTACAGTAAAACACCCTTAAACAAATCCCTATTTTGTGCTCCAGATGCATTGAGTGTGTGTGCCCACGCAGGAGGGTCCCCACGCCCATCTCCTCCTGGCTGCCCCCTCCTGCCCTGGCCCAGGAGAGCTCCCCCGTGGGCTGCTGGGGTGCCCTTCACCTTGCGGGGCTCTACACCCTCAGCACACTTCCCCCCAGGAAAGCTTCCCACTGATGGCACAAGGAAGAGGCCTCCAGCAGTCCAGCCACAGCCCTCTGTTGGGACTGGATTTATACCACAGCTGCCTGAGAATAAATTTTGGCCCACAGAAGATAAGGGGCTGGCTGAAAGCTTTCTACTTACACTAGTTTTGAGAGAAGTTTTTCTTGAATGTTTTTCCTTTCAGAAGATGCCTCTGACCTTTGCAATGACTGCATGCCCTTTCCCTCTCTGCCAGAAATGCCACGGTGTGGAACTAGTTCCCTTTCAAATGCTTTGTGTCACCATTTTCATTTCTACTTATTTTCCTGCAGCTCAGACAAGATGCAAACCTAAGCTTAGCCTGGCTCGGGGAGGAAAACAGGAGCCGTGCTCATGAGAAGCAACTCCCGTTGTTCCCCTGCCCGGCCAATGCAGCAACCTACAGCAGGGGGGTTGAAACGAGATGATCTTTAAGGTCCTTTTCAACCCAGGCCATTCTACAATTCAAACAGGGGCTTTGGGCTCTTGCTTCTTTAAAAACAGACCTTCTGTTTGGAAGCCTCCCTTCAGGGAGGAGAAGCCCTTCTGATTTTGCTAGTCCCTTCCCACACCTCCAGCCCTCAGGACACATCCCTCATCCTCTGGGGCAGAAGTGCCTCCCCGTGCCTTGAGAGCCCGCTTAAGTGTTCACATCCTGGTGTGGCAGACCCCGCTCAGGACAAGGGGCCATACCGAGGAGTCTGGAACCCAGGCCTGGCGTCAGTGTGTCCGAAGTTTGACTTGTAAATGCACAAAGAGCAAAACCAAACCCTGTCTCCAGAGCCACCTGCAATGGTTCTGTTCTCACTGCAGGCAAGCCCAGGATCTCTAACATGTTTTCCCCCATCAGTGACCAAAAAAAAAACCCCAAGCTTTTGAAATACTCCACACAATATGTGGTAGAAGCACTACAAGCTTACAAAGACCAGCCTTTTCTGGGTCATCTTCAGAGCACACAGGCTTTCCCACCTTAATTAGCACCCTCCTTCCACCAGTCCCCACCGCTGAGGCTGGAACACGAAGCTGAGCACAGCACCCCACTGTGCCATCTCCTCTGGGCTGAGCATGGGTCTGCGGAGCTGCAGCATCAGCCAAGTCTCTCTTCCTGATCTCAGCACAGTTTCTCCCAAACCTTCAGCTGCTTTCCAGGCTGGAAGAAATGCCATATATACCAGTCAGTTGGGCTCTTCCACTGTTTGAGGCCAAGTACAGAAGAAGCAGCTGCTCCTTGTCACCCTACCAAGTTACACCAGTCAGCAGCAAAGAAAACACAAGAAACACATGAAAGACACAGTCTAGTGATTCAGGAACCGGCAACTCCTGAATTCTTGGTGCCTGGAGAGGTCTTCTTCCTTCATCTCCTCCTCTGCAGAAGATGCCAAAGAGTGCCTGTCTCAGAGGTGCATCACGAGGACCAGCTGTTGAATGAACAACAGGAGCAGGACAGGGCTGCCGAGAGTCACTGGCAGCACAAACCAAAGAGCTTGTGCTCTCTCTGGGCACAGGTGAGAAGGATCCGTTCCTCTTCCAACAGACAGCTCTTTTTGTTTGGCTCTTAATGAGACAGCCACCCTCAGAGTCCTTTGGCAATATGATCATGATTGCACAAGAAAACAAACTCATCAAGAAAGTGTAAATGAGGTCATGTTTAACCCATGAGACCACATCTGCCCCCCTCCCCCCTGCCAGAGGACAGGCTACACTTGATCTGTCTGGTACTCTGAGGCTTCCGATAAGCTTTCGGAAAAGCTCAGAAAGTTTTCCTGGTACTCGGAGCAAACAATCTCAAATCTGTAGTGCCTGAACTCCACTGCAAAGGTGCCGAAGTAGCAGAGGAAGCACATCACCAAACCCCACTGGATTCTGGAAGCATGCATGTGGATGCCCTGCGCCATGAGGATGAAATCTGGAAGAGGAAAGTCAAGGAGAACTAGTGGGAGAAAAGACACTGGCCAGGATGGGAGAAAGCCAACAGGAAAGACGGTAAAATCTTCACAATCAAAGTCACCCAGATGACAGTCAACCCAGCCAGCCACCATCAGGACAGCGTGAATGTGGTGCCAGAGATGGAAGGTATGGCACATGTACAGCAATGCCCCAAGCAGCAGCTCTCCTATATGAACCAGGGCTTCGTAATCCTAAGTCAAGCTGATAAACATTTACAGAGGGAAAGACAGAGGCACACAGAAGCCAATGACTTACTTGAACATCCAGCTAGCTAGTGACAGAGCCAGCAAGCTGGGGATCTGGCTACCGGCCCTTACCTGCCAGAAGCCTTCCAGTTGGAACTGGATCATGTCTGTTCACCACAGGCTACACGAACACCTTTCAACCTACACTGTGCAATCTTTCATTCTCTGCAGAGCTGCAAAATCAGCCCTTTCTGTGAAATACAGAAGCATCAGGCTACACAATATGGCATGTTATACTGAAAGGAAAAAGAACGCCGCCAGAGCCAGAACCTGTCCTCCAGGCTCGTGTACCTGTGTGGCTGGACTGCGCATCGCCTAGCATCAGGGTCTCACTGCTGTGCCTCAAGTTCCCAGCTTCTCAGCTCCCCTAAAGCAGAAGATACCTTCCTGATCTGGGGACCTGCCCTAGCCCAATGCACATCTCTAAACCTACTGGCTCTCAGGATTTTCTCTGCACTCCAAGAATGCAGGATCACACACCTTCGCAGGTAAAACAAACAAAGAAGAAGCCTCTCCCACAGTAACTGGAGACTCTTCATCTTGAGCTTAGTGTTAAACACCTAAAAC